AACTTAAAGATTGCACCCTTCATGCGATCTGTATCCTATGCTGCATCATATATTAGCAGCATCCTTGGTACAGGTGATTTTTAATTTTAAAATCCCAGAGTAAACGTTAATTAACTGGTCAAAATCTACAGCAGCAGGTAACATTTGACTCACCATCATTCTAACATCACTCCTTTTGCATCTTTAAAAGTCAAGCAGAGGATTAGTAATTAGCCAAGCAAATAATTAGAAATGTTACATGATTCGTATTCTGATTAGTTTTAAAATAGGTGTTGAGATATCACTACTTCCCAGTATGCCAATTAATGAATTTCTGAACAGCCTAAGGAAGACAGGTTTCAGGGCCACCCTTCTTCCACTGTAAAAATCCCCCACACCAGGCATTAACAGTGTTTCCTTCCCATATTGTTTTACTCCACCACCATGGGTCTTCCCAAACCCAAGAGATCACAGGGAAGAGGAGTGAGATTTTGCCTTATCTGACTGTGAAAGTCCCTTATCCCACTTAAATGCACCTCATAAAGAAGACTGGCTCAACAACAGCCTTCCTGGAGGAGCATCCCTTTTCCTCAGTAAGGCGTGGCCTTTTCGCAAAGCAGACAGGGATATTGTTCCAATTGTGATGCTACTTTTGTTCTAAAGCAGTCAGAAATCAATGGCTAGCAGGTGTAGACAATACACAACACTCCCTTATGCCCAGAGTTGCAGGCATCACACAACAGCGATACATCAAACTCTTAGTGGCTCAGGGAGCTGGATAATTTGAGACACCTTACCCAAAGCAACAGCACTCAGTGCTAACCAAAATTGTGACCCATCTCTAAAAGGCTTTGTATAATCCCTTAAGTAAAAATATAAGATTTTGGTTACCACCTACCATTAAGTGGTTCTTCTACAGCTTTCTGTAAAATATTTAAAAATATTTATATATGTATAAAAAAAAGCCTTCACATCTATTTTTGGCTCGCCACAGTTAAATTACTCTAATTGACATATACAGTAAGTAGTGATTCTACAAAAATGAAAGAAGCTGAAGATTAGTAACTACGGCTATGAAAAATAAATCCACCAATAATTGCACTCTCGTCATGTTATCTCCAACCAGATCAGGAATCTCATTTTCCTAGTGAAATGTGTAGAGGTGGCAAGAGATACACAATGAGACACACTACTTGTAAGTGAAGCAGCAACGACTTTTCTCAATATGATCACTGGCGCAGGAAGCAAACAGCACTAAGATTAAAAAGTACGAGTTAATAGCTCTACAGGAGACATCCCAAATTTTATCTAGTAGGGAACTAACCAGAAGCAAAGTAATATGGACAAACAGGAAACTTGATAGATTTTAAAAGGAAATTGATTAAGATTGACAGTCTCAAATACACACCCTTTCCCCCTGGGCTTCAAGAAAGTGTCAAGAGTTATTTTAGAGATGTGCCCCTAATAAAAATAAATCACAGGCCTCTGAGTGCAAGGTTACCATAGCCCTTCGGTTTTAAAGAATTAAAAAAACCTTTTAATTTTAAAGGCAACTGCACATCTTTTTATAAACCCCTTTAACCCACAGCAATATGTGCTGAATTTCTCTTGATGGAGGCAAGCAATCCTAACCCTGATTTTCAGACCAGAATTTCATTGGGCCTCTAGACTCCTGTGTACTTTACTGTACCCACAAAACAATCAATCTGTCTCTCTTTGGAATCATCCAGTGCCAAATGTTGGGGCACCTAGCCACAAGTCCATCCAGTAATTAGACATCCAAAATTATACGGATTCTGCAGTTGTAAAAAGGGCCAGTTTGCATTTGATTACCCTTTGGAAAACAGGGTAACCACAATTCACAATTTTAGGAGGCAATTGCACCTAGTATATTTATTAAAAAAAAAAAAAAGAGGCAGGCTGCAAAACGAGGATTATTTTCCTTAGAAAGATTCAAAAACATACACTTATTCTGCATGACCTAAAGATAAAAGCCACTCTGCTTTCAGATGGCCTCTTCAATATTAGGGGCATTGTAAAGAAAATTATAAAGGATATAGCATTTGTGTAGCTGGGAACCCAAAAAAGTGTTAGACCTTCAGTGTGAAAGAGACTGCAACAAAGAAAAAATAATTGGAGTGTGTGTGTGGAGGAATAATTTATTAAAGACAGACTGAAATCTTGTTTATTAAATGTTTACACGTCTATTAGTGTCAACAAAGGGTGCACTGTCAACTGAAGGTATCCATACAGCCACACAAAATATTCAGCATGGTCAGTGGAACAGCAAGCTTCCTTAGACAGCCTGACTACCCAATGGTCCTTCCAACTCGAGTTGGATAGGGTAGCTCTGTTTCCATTCAAATCCTTGGCCTGTCAGATAAGTTAGCCAGCAAGGGGACCAATTACAGATATCTGGAAGTAGATAATCAGGAACTGGACTAAGCCCACCAATTCAATTAACACAGACTACTGAACAGCTACCATATAGCAGTGACTTTTGCTTGCTACCAGTCTGGTCTGAATTCAAACTAGTGGTGAAAGATGAGGTATGGTAATGAGATACTGAGCCTAATTACCCCAAATTTATTATTTTTAAGCTTACCCTTGTTGGTTGTTCTTTCTTGCTGTAACCTAAAAATATTACAGAACATAAAAATGAGCACGTTATTAGCTACATAAAAGAATTCAACATTTAACTGAAGAAAAAGACAAAAGTTGGAGGAAAGCAACAACAGTTAGAAGGAATCACATCTTTGGTTATCCCAAACTACTTTGTGCGATTTATAAATTCTAGAATACTGCATCACTCTTCTGAAGAGGGGATAAATGTTCCTAGCACATGTGCTCCGTGTATTAATTCAGCTAAAGCACTTTGAGATCATGAATGAAAAGCATTACACAAGAGCATTATTATTGTTACTATAGCACTCTTGTGTTGGGAGCTATTGTTTCAACAATGATACATTTGCTATTTGTTTGTCCAGCTCACCACATAAAAAAATCTATCACATGAATACTGATCTTGCAATGGGATTTCACTGTAATAAAATCTGCTCCCTACCTTCCAAAACCATATCTAATAAGACTGTAGCAGCATAATCTGGTGATATAAAAACCACAAAAGTGAAGCTAAATAGTTTAGATCATTAGCATGTTGCACGAAAGCCAAACTCTGCCCTGAGATATGCACAGTGCCCATCAAAATCAACGGAAGTTGTGTTAGGGTTACTCTGTTGCCTCTTCTGGTCTCTCTCAGTTCACCCCCTCAGGTGTCAAGCTCCATGCCTTTACACCTCCTGGGATGGAATTCTCTGATTCTCCTATTGTTAGGCCAGGTCCAGAGTAGAGTACCTTGGGTATGAACCATGATAACTCAACAGGTCCAAGGGAGTTCAGCATCTGCAAGTCTTCATTTTGAGAGCTTGTGACCAATGGTTAATACAGGTGACCAGATCAAACCATTGTTTAATCTTAGCAGGTGACCAGATCAAACCATTGTTTAATCTTACCAGTATAATATAAGAATCAAGAATTTTAACACAACAAAGGGCTACGTGTCTTTCTGTTTTACCCTAATCCCCACCACCCTATGTTAATGGGCCAGGCATGTTTGCTTCTTCAGACCATTGTGCAGAATGACGGTCTCTGTCAGTCTTCTCTCAACAAACAGCTGCCTGGCAACTGCCTCCTCCTCTAGAGAATAACTTTTAACAGTTTAGTGTCCTTTTGAACCGTTTTGGCTTCTAGCCTGAGCAAAACAAGTCTTGTAACTTTGGCTGGAGCCTGGAAGTAGTATCTTCCTAGTTCACAGCTCAAGCAATGTCACTTAATGACTTCCACCTTGCTTATGGGGAAGTGGTTTATCTAGAGTCACTGGGATGCCTTCCTGCTAGTTTCCTAGCAGCCTTGCTATTAAACTAAATTACCATCTGAATATAATAAACATTTCAATAATCACATATAGCCATACAGTATTTATCCCAAAAACCAAGTCACATGCAAAATAAAAAACATATTACATATGAGCCCCACAACTTCCAGTCTGCACATATCCAGAAGCAGAATTTTCCCATAACTACATCTAATACACATGAATAAAAAAAGTTTTTCTCCCAAACTAGTCCCTTCCACCTACCTCAATTTTCCTTCTGCATTTAAGTTTCCCTCTGCCTGGATCATTTTACCTACTCACTTTTTGGTCACCTCCTTGGGTCTACTTCCTAAAGAAGTTTGTTTTTTACAGGTATTTATTGTATATTCCAAAAGCATATCATTAGATTATATACTTTTCTGATTACTTTATTCTGATACCAGTACTGGTTGAGGAGACCAATTCATGCAATGAGACAAATACAAATCAGGCTATGTTAGTAAAACCAATTCTAGAGTTATCTTGCTGGCCAGAGACTTTCCCAGAAGTTTAGCTTTGAAAAAGCATAAGTGGGCCACATTGCTTACTCCAGGAGTTCCCTTCACAAAATATCTACCAGATGTTGTCCCCACTCCTCAAGAAAAAGGGTTTTTGGGGAGGAAGGTTCACATGAGGGAGGGGAATAGGTCATAGATCAGTGGAGAAAAGGAAACTGGTGTCTGGAATTGAGAGACCTGTATTTTTTTAAAACAACGTAACTTATCAGATCGCATGCTATTTTTAAATACAATTATATTCACCTCCAAAAAAAGTGAATTCAGGGAACAGTTCTTCTGAACATTCAGATTAAAACACCAGAAAAAATGTAATAAAAAATATGAGGTTCTACTTACCCGAAAGAATCGCATAAATTAGGCCAACAAGTGCAATAAGAGCCATAATGGCTAAGCCAGCAATCACAACAGCACCATTTTTTGGACGGCATGCTGTTGAAAACAAATTAAACACTTATTTTATTTTAAGCAGGTAAAGGAACATATAAGATGTAATTTCTCACTGAATTTTTTCTGTTTATAGCATGAGCATTCATTTTCAGCTAGTAAGGGACAATAGTCTAATTTACCTATTTTAACAATATGCAAAAAAAATCCTTGTAATTTTTGAAATGTTATTTAACATATAAAATTATAGTAATCTGTTGCATTCTAAGGGCATTTTTAATTATTCAGTGTTTTTCTCCTTTTGATTAGAACTTCTACTCCCTATTTGCAATACTGCGCAAATTTAATACAATGAAAAATAATTTTGGTGAGAGACATAATTAAGTACATAGCAAACGTTTTGGGCCAAATTCTGCTCTCCATTACACAAGTCTAAATCTGGAGTGGCTCAAAAATATTCCCCAAATTCACATCGATAGAGCTGAGAGGAGAACTTGGCAGTTAAAATCTAACCTAATCCCCCACCAAAATGCCCACTCACCCCAGCCCCAGTTAAGAAAAGAATTTAAATTTGACTTCAGTAGGGCTACTCATCTGCTCAAAGCTAGGCATAGGCTTAGACTCAAGGTCTCTAATTTCTACTGAAATATTTAAATGTTGAATTTTTAAAAAAGATGTTGAACATAACATTCAGAAATATACACAAATTATGCTGTCTTATGCTGTAAATGGGTACTGTGAAAGGGACACCATCAATTTGGGAAAATATCACTTCTGTTTGAAAATGTTGCTCCTACTATAATAAAACCACCACCTAAGATTACGATAAATGAAAAAGATTAGCAAAAAAGTTATCAGTTTATTTAATTGTTGCATTTGAAAGCATTTAGGCCATGATTCTGCAAACACCTACATGCTTAACTTCATGTATTTGTGTAAGTGTTGGCAAGATAGGATCATAGTGTATAGTCAGATTGACTCTTTCACCTCTATAGTCAGTTTTTCCTTTGCTAAAAGACCCTTTGAAAAACAAAGCAACAGAAAATCCTTATTTTTCTCAAAGGAGCTTTTTGTTTGTGATATTTTTAAAGTCAAGATAGTATTTAAAGGATGCTCTATCAGAAGCAGGGTTTTTTTTTAATTAGGTAATTAAAAAAAATCCAAGTTAACATACTTTTTGAAAACAAATTCTTGAAGCTATTTGTAAACAGTTTTTGAGGCCAGTGCAGAGATGGTATATTTTTTCCTTTTTAAAGAAGATCAGTTATTGAAAACTCTCCATAACTTTTCTTCTCAACCCCCAACCACCATTTAAAAATAGTTACACCCTGTTCACACTGGCCAAAACAGTAATGCTACTTGACACCATTTTCAAGAAAAGTTTTTGAAACTGTTTCTTAACATGGTGCATTTAGTAGAACAGAGGCATAATTCTCTCAAGTCAAATTCACATTTATGCTTTCTAGGATAAGTCACTTCAAGACATCTACAAGAGACAGTAGATCTGGGAGCCGCAAAAATGGTCTGCTGATAAAAATCAGATATCTGTGGATTCCCAAACACACTGCCAAGGTTGGCCAGCCCTAAATTTTCCCTCTCTTTCTTCTGAGATTACTTCGCTCTGTGTTTTACTCTTGAAGAAAAAAGCTTCAATTTTTTGCTGGCCTACTAGAAAATAAAAGCCAAACGTTAATCAGTACAATGCAAGCATTCTTCTGAGTTTACTGTTTAATGAATTCGCATTCTTGCTGAAGCTCCTGTGATTCATTTGCCTCAACAATACAGTTAAAACCTACACAGCAAAAGCAAAGGTTTGACAATGCACGCTACTGATTTATTCATTTAAACATCAGATATGGATTCTGCCTCTGTGCCGCGGTCGGCTGGGAGGGAAGGATGCGGGCTGCCCTGACGGGCTTGCTGCAGGGCGCTCCCTTCCTCCACACCGCCGCCCACTACAGGGCGGCCAGAGCGGAACAAAAAAAAAAAAGCGGCCATGCCACCCTAGGATTGGGCCGAATGCCGCCTCGTACAATCTGCCACCCCAAGCACGAGCTTGCTCGGCTGGTGCCTGGAGCCGGCCCTGTCTGTGCACGTGTGTGTTCTTTTTAAGATTGTGGAACAATCAAAACAACACAGTAATGAGGGTCAATGCTGGTTGTAGGTGACTCTCTAGGGTATGCAGTGTTGCAAAATAAGTAGTAAATTAAAGCAATCCTTTTTTTAGGCAACTGCTTGCAGGATGCAGCCATGCTGGATAGTCATACTAGTGAAACTATAATATGTAACATAATGCCTTTAGGCTATTTTTCCTTCACCAGATACAACAGTAGTAACACAGCAGTCCTAGAATACATTTATAACAATTCTATTGCTAAATCATGAAGCAGAAAAGCCATTTTACAAAATATTCCAGTGTTAATGTGCAAGTAAACTGTTCCCACTAGGTATAGACAAAGGTAAAAAGAACAGATACAAAAAAGTATTTTGTGCAAGAGACTCTCATTGTTACACCAAATTGCTAAAATTAAGTATATTTTCTTTTAAAAGAAGGTATAATGCTTACCTGTAATGCACAGGCCAAATCCAATGACAGCAATCAAATAACCAAGTGATTCCAGAATTACCACACCAATTGCAAATGATAGATTATTCTCATAAACTGGGAGGGAAAAAACAAATATTCTACTGTAGCTTTTGAAAGGACAACAAAAGAAAACATGTGAGGTTTGTGACCCAAACTGGACTAGGAACCAGGATCTTCTGAATCCTAGTCCTGGCCAGCTTGTGTGATGACTAAAGAAATCCTGAGCCAAAGAGGTAGGGCTTTCCCTTAAAGGATGAGGTACACAATAAAAAGGAAACAACGTAAGTGGAAAACTAAACAAAAAATCCCCCCAGGTTGTAATTCAATCCAATCCTATGACCCTGGATGAGGAATCTGAGCTACCCAAAGACATTCTACCCCCAGCTACATCTCCCAAGCAGCCAATTCAGTTCTTTTCTTCAGCACTTAAACCAGATGATCTCAGACTATCCCCTTGTTCACAGGACATTAGGAAGACCAGGACCCCAGCACACTGTCACCGTGCCTATTTATGAATGACAAACATCATGTTATAGTAAAAAAAAAATTTTGTTTCTAATAGTAGATTGAGAAGCTTTTAATGAGACAGTAAATAAATGAATCCTCACCTATCTGAAGCAGAAAGTACTGACATGGCACTAAAATCACAGCAGGGAGTACAATTAAACCAAGTCCAATTTGATTCTCTGGCTTAAACTCATCTGTAAAGAGTTGTACAAATTAGTAAAACAGAAAATCATGGCTGACATTAAGCACATGCAAAGCAATAACCTCTTGGGATCCTCACACTTTTAGGGGTCTGGAAATCCCATGCAAGGTCTGCAACTCACTTCCTGACCTTTGATCTCTTTAAGCAGTGGGACAGGAGGAGGAAATCCGTTTTTGGCCTAATTCTCCCCTTCCGCAATTTGGAGCTCTGCAAATAAGGCTGCCCTGGAGCAAATCCAAATGGAGTAATACATTTTAAATAAACACCCAGTAATTATATAACCCATCAAACCTTGGTGAAGATTTTGTACTCTCTTCTTTCAACTGGCCAGGTTCAACCTGGAGGTTTGGACTTCCGCTGGGACTGTAAATATTTGTTCTGTACATAAGGGAGTCTGTGTCCGAACTTGTTTAAATACCAGGTTCTGGAGAAAATAACATTCCTGGATGGGATATTCCGAGCCCCAGGTATAGGAGTTTTGTTTAATATACTGTGTTGCTTACAGTGATAAGGTTTGGTTCAGTTCTTTTCTCAGTCCTGTTCATCCCTCCTTAAAAAAAGTTTCCATTGCCTATGATCTTGTATATTTAATACACCTCTACCCCAATATAACGCAACCCGATAAAACACGAATTCGGATCTAATACGGTAAAGCAGTGCTCCGGGGGGACGGGGCTGCGCACTCCGGCGGATCAAAGCAAGTTCGATATAATGCGGTTTCACCTATAACGCGGTAAGATTTTTTGGCTCCCGAGGACAGCGTTATATCGGGGTAGAGGTGTACTATCTTGTCTCCTGATTCTTCCTTCTATGATGGTGGATGCTCTTGGTAGCGAGGTACACTAAGGTTTCTGAGCACTCCACACACAGATCCTATTGAACTTCACTTAGATTAAAGACATTGTTCTATTCTGGTAAAGTTTGTGGCTCAGCCCAGTCAAGTACTGGACCAGACCAGTTTATGGGTTAGTATCCTAAGAGGAGGAGAGAGAATCTCTTCTAAGCCAGTTCCATATATATTACCACATATGGGGCCAGATCCTAAGCTTCATCAATTTACAACAGCTCAGGATCTGATCCATTGTGTTGGATACGGATATTAACATGTTTTGATATTGCTTTGTGCAGATTTGCATGTTAAACAGAGGTCTGCAAATATGGACAAAGATTAAACTACTTTTTGAGCCCCAGTTTATAAAAACTGAACTCCAAGTATGAAATTTAAGCAAGCAACCTCTTATGAACTCGGAATTACCCATTAAGAAATCAAAATAGAAAGAGGGTATACATTTCAAATGGCATCATTATCAAGAATCAATAAACCCAAACATAAGTGTTGCTTTTATGTTTACTAGATTTACTTTTTTAAAAAACAAAATCCAGTAAATAATAATACTTAACACTATACAATCTATACCACTTAAACACATTTTAACAGATTTTTATATGGCTTTGGACTCAATCCTGCAGCTGCTCTGCATTCGGAAGTCCCACTGACATCAATTGGAATTCTGGGTGAGCATGGAACAGGAGTTAAAAAGCCCTTTAATTATCGTATACACTCGATCATAAGCCGGTTCATTTATAAGCCAACCCCCCCCCTCCAAGATGGATAAGTAAAAATGGAAAAATTTTTATGACCCGTTCATAAGCCGACCCTATAATTCAGGGCTCAGCAAACTTTGGCTCCCAGGCCATGAGGATAAGCCGCTAGTGGGCTGAGATGGTTTGTTTACCTCGAGTGTCCGCAGGCACGGAGGTAAACCTAAGTAAACAAAGTGTCCCGGCGTGCCAGCTGCTTACCCTGACAGGTCAGGACAGCAACTGGTGGGGAAATTTTTTGGGGTGGGGGAGAAGCTGGGGGTCAGTGGAGTAACCCCTGTGGCCACCCCCCACATGACCCCACCCCAGACCAGGACCCCCAAACACTCCCAATCCCATCCCTTCCCACCTTATCTGGGGAGGATGTCTCTGGCCTGGCTGAGCTGCTCCGACAGGCTGGGCAGGGCGGCTGCAGCATCTTCCAGCGGGCTGGGCCGGGCGGCGCGGCCACAGCCTGCTCTGGGGGGCAGAGCCGAGTAGCACAGCTACAGCCTGCCAGCCCCAGAGTTGCAGCTGCTTCAAAGGCTGGGGGGAGAGCAGCATGGCCAGAAGCGGAGAAATTCTAGCCCCGCCTCTTCCCTTCTGGCTGTGCTGCCTCTCCTTGCTCCCTCTGTTGGGGGGAGGGGCTGTATCCCATCTCTCCCTCTCTATACTCGTTCATAAGCTGACCCCCTTCTCTGGTGCTTCCCTTTTTTACTAAAAAAAATTCGGCTTATGAACGAGTATATACGGTAAGTCTTTTAATCTACATATGAAATTGATTTTCTTTTTGCAGTTTAAAAATAAAAAGAAACTTTCAAACTAAGAGAAACATCTACAGTATGTTTAAAGAATTAGAAATATACTTATCCAATATTTCATATTTCCTTCGGATTTTTTGGAAGCTGAGCTGATTCTATCGGATTATGCAGCTAAAGACTCAATCCAGAAACCACTTATCCATAATGTATAACTTTAATCAGACAAGTAGTCTTCTGTGACAATCACCCTTGACTTTAATAAATAACTTTAGTCACATGTATCAGTGTTTGTAAAATCCAGGCTTAAGTCAGTACTTTGTAGCTATGGAAGTTATACAAGCAATTTTTTTCCTCCAGGATCTACATAGTCGTACTCAGATTTTGGCATTCTTCTCTCATGATAAATATGGAGTCTGCTTTTACATTAAGGGGAAAGACACACTAATAGCCTGAACTTACACAACTAAAGTCAATAGGAGTGCTATCATTGACTTTAATGGGAGTTCTGATTGGCTCAATTCTTAAATTATAAACATTTTGACTCCACCCTCCAAGGAAACTTACTCTGCAGCTCATGGAATAACACTGATCTACCCTGTAACTACTAGCCCTTGCTTCTGGATAGTTTTGGGCACTTCAAGTAAATTGCCTTGCTCTGTCTCTCTGTATGTGTGCACAGACAGCAATACAAACAAACAGAAATCCATTAATTTCTCAACTGCCTCTCTCTCTGTCTCCAACCAAATCGAATACTACAGTGCAAACGCATATGAGTTACACAAGCAGAAGTCTTGGATTGTTGTTAGTTCTTTTGTTTTTCTGGGAAGTTCTGTAACAAGGGAGAAGGAGCAGAGTGTGCAACCAGAAAGGAGCAACACGGGTGCAGAAGCACGACACTGGGGGAAGAAGAGAGAACATTCTTCAGAGTGCAGCCTCCATTGTTGATTTCAACAACTGGTAACTGGAGCAAAAACTGCCATGCATGCAGGTCATAAAGAAGGCCCTATTTGGGAATATTTCCAAGAAATTCCTGTACCTCTGGATAAAAAAAAAAAACCGAACATGTGCCAAATGCAAACAATACAACGAGAAGATGTAAGGCCCGGTTGCCAGAATGAAACATGAAAAATAATCCTCAGAAAGCAAAGACTTTGAAGATGATGATGTAGACATGTCTGAACAATCAGGATTACGTGGTTAGTAAACTTATTTTTGCACTAGTCTATGGACTGCCTATGAGATCTTACTATGCTAGTGAACGATAACTTAGATTGCGGTCATAAGTTTGTGTTTTGGGTGGATTACTTATGAATTTCAAAATGTTTGTGTTTAAAATATAATTGACATGTTAGTTGTGGGAGTATTTATCAATTAAATTTTTACTGTTACCGCTGCACTTCTGAAATGATTTTTTATTGCTCAATATAATCAAATATAGTAGGTGAAGATTTTCTGTTTAAAAGTAGTTTTATTAGGCATTTATTAATTTTAACATTACATTTTTTTTCAAGCTGTCTGGCATGTTTGAGATAAGCATTTAAATAGATGTAGATAATCCTTATGATTTATTTTCACTATACAACTGGGTTTAGAATAAACTATCATTTAAACAGTGGTACAAACAGCTGCAATAGGAAGAATCTTTCATTTACTTAATTTTTTTTTAAAGTCAAGGCACTGAATAATAGTGAGAGTAACTTTTTTTACCATTTTATTTCAGGATTCACTTATACATAAGGAGTTAAAAACATCCATCATCTGAATGTCTACAACTTCAGAGCCATCTGCTGGTAGCACCAGCAGTGCTGCAACTGAACATACATCAGACAATAAATTACCTATATTAAAAAAAACCAACAACAACAACAACAAAAACACCTTCTCTTCAACATCCAGTAAAATCATGGATGAGTTTGTAATCAGGACCAGCTAGTCCATCAAGACCCCATAGACTGCTCAGTTCATTTATGCAACAAATTCTCCCTTTCATCTTGTTCGGAATAAACTTTTCAATGACATGCTTCAATATTAAGATGAAGGCTCCACTCGGCAGAGCAGACATTACTGAAAGGTTGCTGGATACAGTGTACGAGAAGAAAACTGAGCAGCGTGCAAAAAACATTGACAAGAAATTCTTTAATCTGGGTCTTCATATAGGAAGAGCCAATAATTTATGCTTGTGTGGCAACAAAAGATGGGGTTGTCAACCTTATAGAAACAACTGGTACCCCAGAATACTTAAAAGTATTAAGAATACTTAAAAGTAAAAGTAGCAGCAGCAAAAGCTATAACAAACTGAACAAAAATTCAAGTGTCAAGTGCATAGCTTTTCACAGCAGCTATCCTTTAGTCCTATGTTGACTAATCTGACTGAAGAGAAATGTAGAAGATATGCTAGTTCTGTAGCCTTGGACAAACTGCAGAAAGATAGCTGCTGTATTGCTAATGCTGTTGACATTTGGAAAGTCAAGAGACACGGAAAAAAGAAATACTCAGCAACAAACTTAAATTTCAGGCAGTAAAGAAGTGGATGGATCAAGCACTTACTCCACCTCATTTTCTTGCCAGTATTCTCAATTCAAAAATGAGGAGAGAGTGGATGAGGTCTATTAGTTCTAAAAGTTTGAAGGACAGTCACAGTAACTTAGGAAACTACTGTCATTTTCAAAAGACTTAGGCAAGTAGGAACTTAAGCTTCAGTCACTTGGGCATATTCCAAAATTTTTCCAGGCTGACCTGAAATAATCAGTTTAATTCACTGATTACTGTTAATCTCTTCGTTCCTTTAATAAATTATTTAGTTGTAAATGTGAAACATGTTTTGATAAAATAAGTTCATGTATCCAAAACATTTAAGGTTGCTTTATTTAATAAAAGTAATTTTATATGCTGTTTTGTGTTTAATTAAATTTCAGTTACCATCCTAATGCAGCTTGTCACAAATCATGAAGAAAAAGTTAATTATCTAGTAAATAAGCAATATATCATTCACCATTTTCTAACATTCTTTATTAATTGTACATTTTGAGTATCTGTAAACAGTAAGCTATATAACTTCTTAAATAAATGTATATTGGTATAGCATACCCTATGCAGCAAAAAGAGGAACCAAATCTATTCTGTGCAAAGACTCTGTTTAGTTGTAAATCAATATGTTTAATGGCTATACAAACTAATGAGAATGTACCTTTCTTTAGAAAATAACTGAAGGACAAATGGAAAAACTGATTAAAATCAATTATTTAAATTGAGAGTTTCCACTTGGTGATTTAAAACCCAATCTACCCTGAATCAAAGAGTAATTATCAATGGTTCACTGTCAAACTGGGTGTATATATCTAGTGGGTCCTCACAGAGGTTTGTCCTGGGTCCGGTACTATTTTATATTTTCATTAACGACATGGATAGTGGAGTAGAGAATATGCTTGTAAAATTTGTGGAGGATACCAAGCTGGAAGGGGTTGCTAGTACTTTGGAGGACAGTATTAGAATTCAAAATGACCTTGATGAATTGGAGAATTGGTCTGAAATCAACAAGATGAAATTCAATAAAGACAAGTGCAAAGTACTACATTTAGGAAGAAAAAATTAAATGGACAACTACAAAATGGGAAATAACTGGCTAAGCAGTAGTACTGCTGAAAAGGAATTGGCGGCTTATAGTGGATCACAAATTAAACATGAGCCAAAAATGTGACGCAGTTGCAAAAAGGCTAATATCATTCTCGGATAATATTAACAGGAGAGTCGTATGTAAGATAGGGGAGGGGCAATTGTCCAGCTCTATTTGTCACTGGTGATGCCTTAGCTGGAGTACTGTGTCCTGTTCTGGGGTGGCATACTTTAACAAAGATACGGACAAACTAGAGAGAGTCCAGAGGAGGGCAACAAAAATTATAAAAGGTTTAGAAAGCCTGACATACGAGGAGAGGTTAAAAGAACTGGGCAAATTCTGTCGTGAGAAAAGAGGACTACAAGGGGGCCCAATACCAGTCTTCAAATATGTTAAGGGCTGTTACAAAGAGGACAGTGATCAATTGTTCTCCATGTCCACTGAAAGTAGGAAAAGAACTAATCACTTTAATTTGCAGCAAGGGAGATTTGGGTTGGATATTAGGAAAAGCTTTCTAACTATAAGAATAGTTAAGAACTGGATTAGGGCTTCAAAGGGAGGTTGTGGAATCCCCATCATTGGAGGTTTTAAGAACAGGTCAGGGAAATACCTGTCAGGGATAGTCTAGGTTTACTTGGTCCTGCCTCAACCCAGGGGGCTAGACTAGATGATCTCTCGAGGTCCCCTCAAGCCCTAAATTTTTATGGTTCTATAAGACATTTGGAAAGATAAGCAAGCGTATGTTTAAATTTTCTCAGTAAAAAAAAACAAACTTTGAAACAGAAGGTAAGAAGGCTCCTTTGTGGTATGCAACTTTAATTTATGATCCTCTATTTCAAGTAATTTTAGCTGTACTGGAAAAGGAAAATTGGTAAAACACTGTTGAGCAAGTGATCTCTCTTTCAGATCACTGACTCTATATGAAATTCCTAGGGGAATGCCTCTAGTGAGTCCACCTTTTCACAACTATTGTTATGGCTCCCCTTACTGATCAACCTATGTAGAAACATTGATTCTATCAAGAAATTTCAACTCCTCCTACCTTCTCATCACAAATTACCCATCTTCCCTTTAACCGTTTTTACTGATGGTGCCAGGGTGGATTTGATTTAAATCACTAGTCAGGAAGACTCGATTTACGCATGGATTTCTACATAAAAGTGCATTCTTGTTGATTGTTATAACCTTAATACCTATTCTTCACAATTCAGAGATAGATGTAGGTTTCATTTTTAGAAGGTACACACTATACATTTTTAAACCGTGATTTATTTTCAAACTTTTCAGATTAGTTTTACAGTTATATCAGAAAATGAATGATTATTTGGTTATTTCATTTACCAAAGATAATTGAAGCAGATATTTATGAAGTCATTGGGAGGTGAACTGTCTCCAATTCAACAGATTAATCATTAATATTTGGAGGATTTTCTTGCCATGCTGTATTAGGAGGAGAACATCACCAGACAGACATTTAAATTGTTTTATTTAACTAAAACAACGACTTTAGGTATTCTGGACTTTTTTTCTTCAACAGCAAACATATAATATTTTAACAAACAAGCATATGAATTTTTGAATTTAGTTAAACAGTCAAGTTTTTAAAATCAGGTTTGTTTTTGTTAAAATTGTTTAACTAAAATAGTTAAATGAAATATTAAAAAAAAAAATTAAATACGACTAT